TTAATTATTAATAGTTACTAATAATGAAAAACATTTTCATTTGGTATTTTTGTTTTCTTTGTGAGATATTAATTATCCTAATTTTACACCTTTTTTTTTTTATTCTTATCTTTGCCAATTTAAATTTTTCTTTTTTCTTTTTCTTTTTCTTTTTCTTTTTCTTTTTCTTTTTTTTTCAACTTGAAATAATTCTCATTTCTCTCTTTTCTCAATCATCAATAAAATTTCTCGAGAGAATTCATCCTATTTTTATTTTATATTTCTTTTTTTGTTTGTTTACTTCTATTATGATAATTATTATTATTATTAATTATTAATTATTATTATTTTAGTATACGCGTAATATTATATCTTATCAACGATCTTGTATAAACTGCTTAATCACGGGACAAAAATGAAACTTATTTTTTTTGTTTGACGACCGATAAAATATGTTTTTAAAATAGCAATAATCAATCGAATTGAGCGATAACAATATCGTGAACTTCTAGTCAAAATTGACATTTTGTTTTGACATTTGAGCAATGGAGAATAAGAGAAATAGAAATAGAAAGAGAAAGAAGAGAGAAAAAGAGATTGAGTGAGCGAGTAAGCGTTGTATGTCTGTATATGTGTGTATTTAAGTGTAAGAGAAAAAGAGATAGATAGATTAGACAGATAGAAAGAAAGAGAGAGAGAGAGAAAGAGAGAGAAAGAAAGAGATATTAAACTCCATTCCTTATTTTTGTGTGTGTGTATGTTTTTTTTTATATCATTTAAAAAACAAATGTGATGACATTATTGCTCATGTTTCAGGTGTAAGAGCAAAATTACTAAATGCACCACCGCCGCCATTTATTAACCCTTTGCATTCCTATGTCGAGTGTGACTTCGGGTTCATTTCAAGTCTTATTCGTTCAAAGCACGCTTTTCTATTATCGTATAAAGTGTTTTTACGCAATGTCTATTACAATAAATAAATAAAAAAAAAAAGGAAACGAAAAGAATAACAAAAAGAAATTAAATAAAAATACGGGCGAATGTTATTCTATTTTTCGATTGGTTATTATTACACTGATCGTCATTAATATATTATAGAGAGCTAGAAACAGTTATTTTTCTAACGAATTGATCCGTTTCTTCATCCATTTTTTTGTTTTTTTTTGTTTTTTTTTTTTAATGATTTTTGATAACCAACCAACATTTCGTCGCCTATTTATGTATCGGGTATAATGATTAATAATCATTTCATTATAGGTAAACTTATTATAGGCTTTCGTATAATTATCCGTTTGTCTCTCTCTTTTTATCTCTCTCTCTCTCTCTCTCTTTCTAACTTCCTCCCACCCTATTCCCTTTTCTCTTTCTATCGTCAATATCTTCAATCGTCCCAAGTTGGAAAGTTATCTTGTTGAACGAAGAGTGCAGTGCTCGATGGTGATTGGCTGTGCGATTGATTCGTGTAATTCGTCGGTGTACCTCCAAAGTTTGTACTACCAAATACGGGTTGGCCGAATGCGTCAAGCTGTTGACCCGCATAAATATTAGAATCCACGTTCGTATACGCAGTTTGCTGATTATGCGGGGTGTGTCTTTGTTGATCGGTAACAGTCAACTCGATATTTCCCGTTGTACACTCGTTAACAACTTCATCCGCGTTACCTTGAACGTTCCTTTCTTCTAAACTGCTATGTTTAATACCATAATAGAAGTACATTATGAAGCCTGAAATGAATATGATAAGTGAAATGTATCTATTAATCTCTGTTAGTTTGAATAACTCTATACAATGACTCACATGAATGTATTTGAACACTTATTAGGAAGTGTTTTATTCATTATAATTGGTATATATATATATATGATACTTATCAATATATTATTAATATCAGATTCTCTAGATTTTATAGGTAAAGTTTCAAGCAAATCGAAATATAATTATATATATTATATTATATTTTTATATTATTTCTATGTTATATTTCTATATGATATAAAAATATATTAATATTATATATTTATATTAATAATATTATTTAATTAATTAATAATGTTATTTAATTTTATTAAATAATAATATTTTATAATTAATAAAAATATATTATATATATATATGTATTGGAAAAATTAGTAAAGAGTATTTATAATCGTTAACAAGATGTTATTCGTAACAAAGGTGGTCCTACTAAATATTAAAGATTTCCGAGTTATCTGCTTTCTTGTATCTGTTATGTTTGTATATGTTATCTGTATTTTTATAATTTCAGCCATCTTTACGTTTGTAAGAAACAAATCATAATTATTGTATATGCATAGATATATTTCGATATAGTTGAAACTTTACCTATACAATCTTGAGAGTCACACTTTCATCCAATGTTAATAATATATCGGTAAGTGTTGTATAATATACTTATTATAATTAATAAAATATTTCATGATAAGTGTTGAAATACTTTCGTGAATATTTGTATAT